TGCAAGCTAAGAAATTCACTTTGAATGCAGTGACATCGAGGTGGAAGATGACAAATACCTCAAAAGTATGTAGTCAAATGCATACATATTCTCTTCCCACACATTATTCGCTTCCCAGCCCTGACAAATGACTGTTATTTCATTTATAAGAGAAAAAAAGAAAACCTTGAATTAAACACATTAAACAGCCACTCCAAAAGAGCAGACTATCTCGCGCGCTGCTATCTGCTCTCTGAAGCCGCCCTATTAGTGTCTGAGCCTCTGCTATTCATTACATGCGGCAAATAAACTCTAGATAATGCAGCTTTCAGCCGCCCCCACAAACAATCTCTCTGACATCTACGCACATTAATATTCATTACCGAGTGGCATTTTGACAAACAAACGAAAACCTTGAATTAAACACATTAAATAGCCACTCCAAAAGAGCAGACTATCTCGCGCGCTGCTATCTGCTCTCTGAAGCCGCCCTATTAGTGTCTGAGCCTCTGCTATTCATTACATGCGGCAAATAAACTCTAGATAATGCAGCTTTCAGCCGCCCCCACAATTCATCTCTCTGACATCTACGCACATTAATATTCATTACCGAGTGGCATTTTGACAAACAAACACCCAGCTCGCCGCAAACGCTGGGAAAGGGAGAGAAGCGGTCGGGTGTGATGCTGCGTTCGGTATGATGTGGCGTGATTTATCGGGAGGTTTCTGGCCCTGCGTGATCATGTACTCAACTGGGTCACGGTGCCCTTCTTTATTCGCAGGCTTTATTAATGCAAACAATACACCGGCTCGATTAGTTTTCTGATAACGGCTGAGGTAGGTCACCGATCCGTGCGTTTCCATTCCAGAGATACAAAGGGGGGAATTGACTCAAATGAATTGCACCCGCTGATGATAGCACCATTTATTTGCACGTGGTGCATGTGTTGTTTTAGCACCGTTCGCTAAAGAAATTATGCAAATTGAACAGCGCAAATATACACAAAAGACCTGTGGTAAATGCGATGTGCATGGTGCAAAAGCCAATTTTGAGTACTAAAGAGTGCAGGATGCAGCACACTATCACGATCTAACGTACATAATGTGAATGCACAGCATCACTCCACAAAAGCACCTGCTTTATGAATAAGGTGCAATCAATAATGAGTCTCATTTACATAGAAAGGAGGCGTTTTTGCATGGGAAAGAATAAAAATTGCTTAATTTAAATGCAGCATATTCTTATTTTAGCACATTTAGTGCCTAGTTAACCTGGATTGCCATGTAGTCAAAAAGATGATGCATATAGTTGCAATTAAATAAAGTACTGCAGAAGATAAAGCTGTACTTCCTCCAAGGAATAGTTCACCCAAAAATACAAATTTGCTTTGAATGTATTCTCCCTCAGGCCATCCAAGATGTAGATGAGTTTGTTTCTTCATCAGATTTGGTGAAATGTAGCATTGCATCACTTGCTCGCCAATGGATCCTCTGCAGTGAATGGGTGCCGTCAGAATGAGAGTCCAAACAGCTGATAAAAACATCACAATAATCCACAAGTAATCCACATCACTCCAGTCCATCAGTTAACATCTTATGAAGTGAAATGCTTTGTGTTTGTAAGAAACAAATCCAACATTGAGATGTCAAATCGTTGCTTCTGGCTAAATTATGAGTCCGTGATCAATAACCAGGAGAGAAATAAACAAAGACCAAGCAGTGTTTACAGGCAAAAACAGCCATAAACAAATATGTGGGTGTATTTTGATGTGAGAGGAAAACAGGAGATGGATTTTTTTACTGGAGGAAGTGTTATTATGGATTATGGACTAGTATTTTGACCAGAAACAATGGTTTGAAGTCTAAAACGGCTTATTGATGGATTTGTTTCTTACAAACACACAGCTTTTGGCTTCACAGGATGTTAATTGATGGACTGGAATGATGTGGATTACTGGTGGATTATTGTGATGTTTTTATCAGCTGTTTGTGGACTCTCATTCTGACGGCACCCATTCAGGATACAGAGGATCCATTGGTGAGCAAGTGATGCAATGCTACATTTCACCAAATCTGATGAATAAATGAACTCATCTACATCTTGGATGGCCTGAGGGTGAGTACATTCTAAGCAAATTTTTGTTTTGGGTGCATTATTCCTTTGAAAAAGTATTGCCAAAAAAAAACAAAAAAACATTGCAGAAAAAAAGTTTCATCCACATGTATTTTGCAATTATATTTAGTTTAGTCTTTTGCAGTATTTTTAAATATATGAATAATCTTTTTGATTTACTGACAAATAAAGAAAAATTTGAGCCAGATGTGTTGCAAAGAATTGCTACCAAGAATTTTTTGCCGAAAAAATTTGTATTTCATTTACATGCATCTGGGTTATTTTTTAAATTAAATACAGCTTTGTCTTTTGCACTGTTTTTTTTTTTACACTGAAAGATTGCATGCAAAACCATTGCAACTGTTTAGTGAACTCACCCCAAAGTGTTGACAAGAACAACTTTTGGTAACAGAAATGTGTTATGAATTGCACGATGCACAGAGAACACAAACTGCTGACGCTAGCGCATTATTTGTGTTTATGTGATGCATCTACGGGTCCACACAAACTGCATTTCCTCTGGCTCATAGAGATGAGGCACTGCTTTATAAGACAATAACGGCTTGTGAAGGAGCGTCTCTCTGACTTCAGGCTACACTTTTGCCTTAAAATGCCACAAATTAGATTACACCAGGTGTTTGAGCACAAACAGACACTTTGATTGGGCGAGCTTGACTGCTGGGCCTAAACAAGCAGAACAAAATAGAGTGAAGTAAATTATTGGTTCCAGAACAGGTTCCAGACATGTGTTGAGTGCACCTAATTCCACAATGTGCTTACGTACACAATTCTGTGCCATGAGACTCCAGCAACCTGATCCAGCTGTAATCCTGCAGAGAATACAGCCAACCCCTGGATCGCTAACAAACACATCACACAGGAGGATGCTGTTTGCTTTGGACCATCTGAAACAGCACTACGAGTCATATTGAACCACCAGAGCGATATATAACTTCACTGTACTGCGGAAGAATATCAAGATCAGAACCTGAACCTGAAGTGGGCATCATGCTATTTTCCACTGCTGCACATGAATATGAAGTACTGAAGTACAACAGCAACACAATTACTGCAAAACGCCTGCATAGGCCTCAAATTATGGCCTTTAAGCCGATTCTTGGAACATTTTTCTTGTTTCCAGTTCAGAAAGAGATCTTTGTGACAGAAATAGAAGAGGAGGTCAACTCTTGTCCAGGGAAATCTGATGAATGCTTCTTCTGTAGCACAAAACGGCAATAAATCGCAGAACTCGCACAGATTCTTGCATTTTTCGGAGTGCTCTTTGCACGTGCAAAACTTGCCGATGATGCTAGGGTGTTCTGGATGGTTTCTATGTGGTTTCTTAAGTCTTCATGATATGTTTTGTAACAAGAAACCCCTTCAGTAAACAAACCCCTCAGTTATCAAGTGTACTATCGCTAAGGGTTTTATTTTTGCAACCGACTGCTAGGCTTTACATATGGATCAATGTAAAAGTGTGGTCACATTTACTGTTTCTCTAGGAAATTTTGTGAGAAAAATACAACAATTCCAGTGGCAATTTGTGCAAATGTTCAGATGCCAAAACAAACAACAAATGGTGCTAATATACACTCACGGTGTGCTGTAATACTGAAGAAAAAATAAAAATCATGATCTTAACCCTTATCTCCATACCAAAATCTCAGATGGCCAGACAGAGATTTTCATCTTTTATGATCATTAAAATATTGGTGAGTAAGTGAATGTTTTGCCATTTCATTGTTCACCAATCTTTGAGAAAAAAAAAACTGTTAAAATAAAAATAATCGAGTTTTGTTTACTTGCAGTGTTTTTTTGTTTGTTTGTTTGTTTGTTTTTAAAATACAGCTTTGTTTTCTGCAATTGTTTTTAAACAAAACATTTATTTAGAGTTGATTTGTTTGCTATCCAGCAGACTAGCTTTGGATGTTTGATTTGTTATTATCATTCATTTCATCCCATCCAGTCGTGCTTTCTTTCACTTAAAAAAAGTTTAACTGAGCAACAGTAATTATGACCACACGTTATTTCTATGAATATAGTTTTTTTTTTTTTGCCATTTTATTGTCTGCCCATCTTTATATATTTATGTTACTTAGTTTTGTTTACATGCATTGTGGTTGCATTATTTTTATTAACTATATAAATCATCATTTTGTCTCTGAAGACAGAGGTTGTTTTGTTGATTTTGTTGCATACAAAATTACTGCAACCGCTGCAAACAGCATTCTCTCACTTGTGAGATTTCATAGAGCAAAATGTGACCACAAATTTTTGCAATTTTGTTGTCCACCATTCTTTGAAAAAAAAAGTATTTTTTTATTTAGTTTTATTTACATGCATTATGTCTACAGTAATTTTCATTAACTATATAAATAATTTTGTCTCCAATAAGAAGCAGGATATTTTGCTGAGATTGCATGCAAAATTGCTGCAACAGCTTTCTTTCGCTTGCAAAGTTTCACTAAGCGAGAGTAAATGTGACCATACCTATTTGCCATTTTATTGTCTGTCAACCTTTGAAAAAAAATCTTTAGTTTTGTTTAACACTATAATTACTTTGTTTCTAACAAGACTGAGATTGCATGCAATATTGTTGCAACAGTTTTCTTTCACCTGCAAAGTTTCGCTGAGCAACAGTAAATGTGACCACATCTTAAACCTATGATTTTTTTGTTGCTATTTTATGATTGCTAAACTCAAAAAACAAAACAAAACAAAACAAAAAAACATTCCTTTTGAAATGATACAATACACTCTGCTCTCTGTATCAAACATGTTTGTTGAAGACAGTCAAAGAAAAGTTGTACACTAAAGTCTAACACTTAGGGTTGGGGGTTTATTCAAGCAAGCATGAGCAGCAATAACAGTGATGCTTGTAAGCATGAGATAACGTCTCTTCTCTTACCTTTTCTGTCAGTGTTGCTGGCCACTATGGAGGGAGAGAGGCCTCTAGGCGGCTCCTTGTTGGTATTTTCCCTGGTGACCAGGGAACTCTTGTGTTTGAGGCATTTCGGGGCGTCCAAGGATTTCAGCTTCTTGGCGTGTTTGGTGCCTTTGTAGTGGGCCAATGCCTGGCTCTAGGAAACACAAAACAGGCCAACCCGCGGAGAGGGCCAGCCCGGACCAGGTGTTAGCAACAGCAGACAGGGCCGAAGGAGCTCTGAGCCATGAGCAAACAAGCTGCTGGAAGCAGCACTGCAATGTGGCACGATCGCATTTTATCGACTTCAAACCACCCATCTGTGAGGGTGAAGGTGACATGACGCCCATCTCCAGTGCAGCCCAGTAAAACGGGGCTCTCAGTAAGAGAAAGCCTGCTTGCTTGTGAATCTCACATTGTTCAGCGTCTTTGTGCTTCACCTGTATGTGTCGACTGTCTGGATCTGCTCCAAAAGCTAATGAGCTGCCTACATATGCAGCATTTTAAGGCACCGTAGGCGTGCAGCACAATGAAAAGGACAACTTTCCAATTTTTCTATGTGCAAAATGTGAAGCTAAAAATGGTTTGGAAATGTGGAGAAAGAAATTAAACATGTATGAATGCTAGTTAATAGAGATGAGAACCTGTTGTATTTCAATATAAGATCAATTTTACTGCTTAGCAAACATCATTAAGAAAGTGAGTGGGTTTGGATAATAGCAAAAATTTTGCATAAAAATATTCATGCAAAATTGTAATTTTTTTTATATTTAAATATTTAAAATGTAAATTATACACACACACACAGAAAGTCATATTATAAAATATTTTTATAATATATTTTATAATTATATATATTACATAATATAAAGAATTTTTTAAATAATACTAAATTATTAAAAAAATATTGTACACTTTTTATTTAATACAATAATTTTTTTTTCAGTGACAAAACAAAACATCGCTTTGTTTTTGGGTTTAAAATAAACATTTTCAGTTTTGTTTGCAGCTTCGCTCATCAATCCCAACACAGGGTACCAACATACAACTTAACATTCATTCATTTATTAATTAAAATCATTAATTAGAAAGTTTAAAATATTTTGTGACACTAAATTTGTCTGTTTTTACTCAAGGCTTTCATTTGCAATATTCTAAGCCAGCATTGCATGTATTCTTCACAGAGAAGGCAATTCCATTGTGCAAAAAAATATATATCACTGGAGCAATACCAGCTTTTTCATTTTATGCCTATTCAGTGTTTTATCTGCCAATACAATAGTAATGTCTTCTATAAATCAATAAATATTGATTCCTTGCGATGAATTCTGTGGTTTAGCATACTTTCATTGCATCAGTCAAACGGGTCATCAGTCTTCTGTGAATAAGGTGAAACCTATAATGAGCTTAATTTACATATAAAGGAGACGTGTTTGTGGAATGACAATGACTTCAATTAAACATTCACAGCGTTAATTCGGCGCATTTAGTGCCTGCTTAAACTGGAATGATTAACTAATCAGCATATCATGTAATTAATTTGACTATCAATTTCAGCCGATTGACAGCACTACTTCTGATTCATTCATTAGTACGGCTTATATAATTAAATAATTGACTATTTTACCCAATATTAATGTATCTTATGCTTATTTATGTATTAAATTACAACCTCAGTAGCATAATCGAGTCTCCTCACTGGAATCGCTTGATTACGGTGGTTTGATTTCAGTCAGGATGTTCCCTTAGAAGGCAGCTCCCTATGTAGGCAGCAGACAGCAAGCAGCTCACTAGGTTCTCTTTGAGTAATGGTGTGGAATAAAGAGTCTGACAGAGAAGAAAAGAATGGCCTCTCCCAGTCGTCCGTGTGTGAGGTTATTATCCCGTATGACACAGACCCATACATAAAACTTCCAGCTCATCGTGGCTGACTTGGTGGGAAACAAATCTTTTAATAACCGCGGGCACAATGTAGGTAGCTTCAAACGCTCTGTGCCATTTGCTTTCACCTTCAAACCAGATTTATTACGGCTCAATTGGACCATGCCATTCGCAACGCCTTTCAATTGCCCTTGTTTACCTCAGCGCTAACTCCTGGACGCCTGTCTGACATTGCTAGCAGCGGGGAGGATACTATCAAGAGACGGCCAAACACTTCTTTGAATAAATAAGGCAGTCGTTGACATCACTGGTGCCAAAACAAGGTGGGCATATGAGTAACAAAGACATAGATGCTAGGGTCCAGAACCACATATTAAATAAATAAATAAATAAACGATACATTAATGATCAGAAGTATCACAGACCATTAAATCACTCAGACCATCTAGTTGTAAAGATATTTTTGAATATACTTATAATAAAGGTCCAGAATTACATTTTTGCCAGTAAGTTAGAAAAATAAATAAATAAAATTACATAATAATACATAAAAAATATAACAAATACTTATAAATAAAAAGATAACTAAAGAGAAAAAATAAAAATAGGTAATCAAACATAATAAATATGAAATAAACATAAAAGTTACAATAATTATAAATTAAATAATTGTAAAACAAATAAATAAATGACTAAATAAGGCAGGAATGTTAGTATACACAAATTATACTAAAGTCAAGAAATAACTTGGTGAGTAAAATAAATATTAGGGATGCACCGAAATGAAAATTCTGGATGCACTTGGCCGAAAACCGAAAATGCTTTGTAATTATTATTTCATTAAATAATATAAAGTAATTTTGTAAGACTTTTTAATTTAACTCAATAATTTTAATGACACTGAATTTAAAAACACAAGCCAATAAAATAACCACAAATTGTTACTGACTGTAACACAATAAAATTGGACAGAATTTATATTAATATTGGTAACACTTTACAATAAGGTTCATTAGTTAACATTAGTTATCTATTTTAGTTAACATGAACTAAGAATGAACAATACTTCTTCAACATTTATTAATCTTAATGCATTATTAATGCATTATTCAAATCAACAGTTCTGCTTGTTAACAGCTAATACACTCTGAGCAACTGTATTCTCATTAACACACATTAAGAAAGAATAAATACTGTAATAAATGTATTGTTCATTGTTTGTTCAGGTTAGTTAATACATTAACATTAACTAATGGAACCTTATTGTAAAGTGTTACCTTAATATTAAATATCCATATATTATTTTTATTCAGTTCCATGCAACAGAATCAGATATAACTTGTTTTAAACTAGTTATCCAAATAATGTATAATCCTACAAAGCTATTATTATCAGAGCATGTGAGCAGAGATTGCGTCACGAGAGAGTAGCGTCATTTTAGCAGTGTTACGCTGTACAGCTGTATACAGCATGTTACAGCACAGTAGCGTTACTGCAAACAGGAACAAGTATACTGCATAGAAATGTTCTGTCGGTGCGTTATTTGAGCAGACTTTCCGGTGAGCATGAGTGGTACACGAGAGGAACACACATTTAGAGAGGAATAGATGGTCCTCAATGCAGAACACAAGATCCAGGGGGCGAGGTTGGATCCAGATCCAACTCCTCCCACTTTACATATCCCTAAACCTAACAGTCTCCACCCCCTGATGGATCTTGTGTACTGCAGTGAGGGGCTACTGCGTCAAACCGCGCAGTGAGGAGGAGAGTGAAACCTGCGCGCTGAACACTGCTGGGCGGTGCGGCGCGCCATATAGCCTATTTATTTATATATATATATTTTCGGCTCGTATTTTCAGCCGTTATCCTCTTTCGGCCGAAAGCCGAAAGTGGAATTTTCAGCCGATAATTTTCGGCGGCTGAAAATTCGGTGCATCCCTAATAAACATAGAAATAAATAAAACTTAATAATAATGGAAAATAAATATAAGAAGTTAAAAATACATTTATACTTAATTTAATAATTACATTTGGTATAGTAATATAATTAAATTAAATTGAGTTATATTATTAATTATGCATAATTATATAAATTATTATATATTTATCACTGGCCATAAAACTGTGTTTTACATTCAATCAAATAAAATTATATATAAAATTATAAATATTAAAAAGTTGCAATAAGTATATTTAATGTAATATTTACATTTTTAAAAATTATAAATTATCTAACTATAAATATGAACATATTTATTTCTGGCCATTAAACTGTATTTTGTATAATTTTTCTATGGCGAGTAAGTTAGAAAATATAAATTAAAAAATTTAATAATAATAAAAAAATCTACAATAATTACAAATAACTATATTTTAATTTAATAATTACATTTCAAAAAGTTATACATTGTGCATACTTATAAGAAATGTATAAATATTTATTACTGGCCATAAACCACATTTTGCATTATTTTCTCCTAGCATACTGATGACATTCCATCTGCCATAGCATCATTTATGAGCTAGTCTATGTTTCTTGGTTAAAATGCTGTTTACCTGCCAAAGCTGATTTTTACTCACATTTGGTGTTTGGTGACATTTCTTGATGTTTCTTGATTTCTTGATAAGACACTTCACAACTTATTTCTTTACAATACCCGCTTGCTTGCCAGAGAGGTAATTTTGTAAAGACATTAAGGGCAGATATACCTTTATGAAAAGCAATAAGACGTCATGACGGATCAGACTCCTTTGATATATTGTATTTGTACAAATAGCAGTGCGGGATATGGATCATAATCATATAGGTTTATATCAGGGGGGTTTGTAAGTAACACCTCATTTGAGCGGCATAGTGTTATGAAAATGGCTTTAACAGCAAGATAAATGGGATGTTTCCCGACACCTTCCAGCTATTCGTTCCGTCGGCCAATCACAGGGGAGAATGCAGTGACACAGATAAATGTCATGTGCAATCTGAGCCACAATCAACCATTCATTAAACGCACGACACGGAAGAGCTGCCACTGTGATGGCCGAGAGCGGACGCCCGACGAGGAGGAAGTCAGTCCTGCCCCGTGAGCCTTTAACTAAGATGGGCACCTGCAATGGGACGCTGTTAAATGACGCTATCAATCAATCATGACAAAAGCAAATTAGAGCCACAGCCAGTGTTTGGCAGGCAAAGAGCAAAGCTCTTCAAGAACCAACTAGGTTTTCTCTCCCCTGCCATTATATACTGTATTTATAATTCATACGCCCAGAAGAATCTATAACCAAGTGTCTCCTATTTATGTGAGTAACAAACACACATATGCAAGGGTCTAAACTACATTTTTGCATGAAGTTCGAAATAAATAAATTAAAAACAATTAAAAACAACTATAAGTAATTCTAAAATATTATAAATGATAATTCATTGTAAATTGTAAAAAAAAAAAAAGACAAGCACGTGAGTAACAAAGACAAATACACTAGTCCAAAACTAACTTTTTGGCAGTAAGAAAAAATAATGTTAAATAATGTAATAATGTTATAAATAAATAATAAATGAATAATGTTAAATAATAAGTAAATATAAATATAAAATAAATATAAAAAGTTCAAGACAAGACAAGCATGTGAACAAGTCACAAATGCTAAAGTCCAAAACAAACTTTTTGTAAAATAAAATAAAATAAAATAAAATAAAATAGTACAATAATTATAAACAATAAATATAAAAATATATATAAATTAATATTATAAATACTTAAAAAAAGACACACATGCTGAGTAAAAAAAAAGGAAAATAAAAAAAACACACATGCTGAGTAAAAAGACGGTTTTTGGCAGTAAGTTGGGGGTGAGGGTTAAATAGTAAATAAATAAAAATATTAAATAAATATAAAAAGGTAACAATTATAATGATAATTGTAAATAATTATAAATACAAAAATATAATAAATATTATAAATATTATAAATTATATAAAAAAATAAAAAATAAAAAATAAAACATGACAGAGAAGCTGCCACTGTGATGGCCAAGCCTTTGACTAAGATGGGCACCAGCAATGGGACACAGTTAAATGACACTATCAATCAATCATGGGAAAAGCAAATTAGAGCTACATTCTCTGTGTTTGGCAGGCAAAGAGCAAAAGCACTTCAAGAACTAACTAGGTTTTCTCTCCCCCACCATTATAAAATGTATTTATAATTCATACGCCCAGAAGAATCCATAACCAAGTGTCTCATATTCAAATAGACCTGTGGCGATATATGAAAACCAAATATCATTTTCAAAAGTCGCCCGGAACGCCTGGCTGGACTCTCCAGAAGCCATTTAATTTTTGAAAATGTGCCGCATAAAGGCTTCCCGGGCTCAGATTGGAGCTGATTGGAAGCTGGAGCACAAACGGCCAATGATAATGAGGTTTTGCTGAGCATACGGCGTGATTTGAATGTATAATCTCTCCCAGACGCTCTCTGTGATTGGCTGCTGGAGAGCTACAGGGCGTGTGATTGGTCAACAGCAGCCCCACCCACTCATCCTGTCACACGGTCCGGACGGATGCGCATAATGAGCTGTGATTGCTGTGCGATAGGCCTCGGCCCTGCGGATATTACAGCTTAATATCTGACAGTGACGCTGTAAATGAGCACCTAATAGAGCGGATATGGGCAGTGCTGTTTTTAAATAATCCTATTTGGACTAAATACCTCGTGGTGGAAAGCGTGGCACACAGAAAAAAGCTCTCCTGAATGGAAAATGACAAGGAATGCATGAAGGACGGAAGATAAAATTGTCCTCTAGGCCATTTCAAAGTCATCCTCAATGAATCGGATGCGTCAGTGGATGATCTATAGTCTGAGCCTAATAGATGGCTGGAAGTATGACGATATATAATGTATGAAGAAATGGATCAAATGTATGGGCAGGACCTACTTACTTGCTTTATACACAGTGTATTGATAGATCTTTGTACTGTATGTAGGGCTGGGTAAAGATATCGATTCCCAAAACTAATGACTTTGGTTCTTTATAGTGAATCAAAAGCACACTGATTCTTGAAGCGAATGACTCTTAGGTTATTTTTAATTCATCTATACAGCGCAACCAGAGTAGTCAGATTCTCAAAACAAATGACTCTTATGAACTGCTCCTTTTCAGCAAATTAAACACATACAGTGTGACCAATGGTATCCAAATCATAAGCAAATGACTCGAATAAAAAGGTTCTTTTCAGTGAATTAAAAACATACGCAGATTCTCAAAACAAATGAGTCTTATGAACTGGTTCTTTTTAGCAAATCAAACACATACAGTGTGACCAATGCAAACCAAATCACAAGCAAATGACTCTTATGAACTGGTCCTTTTTAGCAAATTAAACACATACAGTGTGACCAATGGTATCCAAATCATAAGCAAATGACTCGAATAAAAAGGTTCTTTTTAGTGAATTAAAAACATACGCAGATTCTCAAAACAAATGACTCTTATCATTTGGTTCTTTTCAATGAATCAAATACAGTGTGACCAATATACTGTAGTACGATTCACAAATGACTGATAAACTGCTTCTTTTTAGTGAATTAAAAACATACAGTGTGATCAATGTAGTCAGATTCTAGAGAAAACAAAAGACTATTCTAATTTGACCAATGTATGATGACTGACGAAACAAATGACTCTTATGAACCAGTTCTTATTAGTGAATCAAACACATACAGTGTGATCAATGTAATCCAAATCACAAACAAATGACTCATGAATCTGTTCTTTTTAGTGAATCAAACGCATACAGTGCCCGACCAATGTATGCCAACTCTCAAAACAAATGGCTCTTAATTTTTTATAGTGAATCAAATATATACAGCATGACCAGTGAAATCCAATTCACAAAACAAATGAATCTTATGATTCAATTATTTTTATTGAATCAAACACAATCAGTGCCTGGCCAATGTAGTTAAACTCTTAAAACAAATGACTCTTATGAACCGCTTCTTTTAAGTAGTCAAAAACATACTGTACAGTGTGACCTGTGTGGTCTCATTCACAAAGAAATGACTCTTATGAACCGGTTCTTTTTAGTGAATCAAATACATGAAACCACCTCCAGTGTAGACCGATTCTCAAAACAAATGATTCTTATGCAACGGCTTGTTTAATGTATGGTTATGGTTTAAAAAAAAGACAGGTTAGCAGTTTGAATCAAAACACTGTCCTGTACAATTTACAGCATTAGCACTGAGTGAAAATGTATTTCTTTAATCAAAATGTACATTATAACTGCAATATACCAAAAAGAATCAGAATCAAACTGAGCATTTGTGAATCAACTTGCAATCAGCCCTACTTTTTAGTTGTGTATATTCATATAGTTCATGAAAATAAGCATCATGCATAGTGAGTAAATAATGCCAGATGTTTCACTTTTGAAAACTATTGCATTAAGTTTCATAAACCGATGCAGTGCAGATGAAAGTGATAATCTTAGTAAAACTAACACAAAATCAAAGTAATGTGTGGATGGTAATATTTATTATATTACCTTGACTGCGTCGGATAATTAGATTTGCACTTTTCTACGGTGGATTTAGGTTAGAATATCAGGGTCACGGTGAAGTGAACTCACCTGCGAGTTAAACCTCAGCTGGCACACGCCGCACGAGACAGCTTTCCTTTTAGAGGAGGCCGAAGCGCTGAACGTGTGATGCAAAACAGCTTTCTGAACCGGGTCCATCTGAGGAGAGGAGAGAACGGAAAAGCAGTTTTATTAGCCTCATTCACCCCAGCGGCGCGCTGAATGTCAACTCTGTTACCCATCGGACGGCGTGATAAAAACGTCGCCCCCGGCGGCTTCACCAGAAACACGACTTGTGGTTGCGCAGTCTGGAACACGTTAAAGGCCAACGATTTTCACACACACGCTCTTCAATCAACACAGCAGGGAAAGAGGAGGGGGAAACAAACTCCTCCAAAGGATTTCATGAGAACCTGAATCAAAATTATACACTCAGAAAGGTCTGCTGAAATTACAACAGCTTGCATGTATCTCGTTTGAGCAACAGATCAGCATTGGGAAGACTGAGTAGATTAAACGTCACTAGTTTATATGACAACAATTAGTTGAACATGCATATTCAGAGTTCTGCTGTACAAAAAAAAATTGTACTTTAAAATTAAAAAATGAACATATTGGCAGGACATCTTTACCTGCTTTACACACAGAGTATCAGCATATTAGATCATTGTATGTAGGGCTGGGCAAAGATACTGATTCCCCAAATGAATCAGTATTCTAACGAACTGGTTCTTTATAGTGAATCAAAAACAGAGTGCAACAAACAATTCTTCTTTGGGAAATCAAACATGTTCAGTGCTTGTAGTTTGATTCACAAAACTGATGACTCATGAATCATTGTTTTTATTTCAGTGAATCAAACATACACAGTGCAAACAATGCGGTCCGTATCATGAAACGACTGACTCTTATGAACAAGTACTTTATAGTGAATCAAAAAACATACAGTGCAACAAAGCAATTCTTCTTAGGGAAATCAAACATATACAGTACAACAAATGTAATTTGGTTCACAACAGTGATGACTCATTACTTTTATTTTAGTGAATCAAACATACACAGAGCAAACAATGCCGTCCGAATCATGAAACGACTGACTCTTATTAACTTCTTTTTAGTGAATCACAGTACAGTACAGTATGGAAAGACCAATGTAGTCTAATTCTTGAAATAAATGACTAATGAGCTGATATATAATACTTAAGTACAGTATTAAAACTAAGAATATTCATTCATTCATTCTTTACCAATACAATTTTTCATTTATTTGGGTGCTCTTATTATGTTTAAAAAAAAAAACTTAAAATGTTACTAAAATAGTATTCTTTTGTGTAGTATTTACTTGTTTACTAAAAAAGGAAAAACACAAATACTTCCTCAAAAGGCCTATAAGAATCAGTAGGAAGCTGAATTTAAAGTTCAAACCCTACAAATCCCATCCCTTGTAACTCCTCTTTTCATTTCTTTTTTTTTTAAATACTTTATAATACATTGTAAATACATCATTAAAATGTTACTAAAATAGTATTTATTTAAAAATATATGTAAATATTAAAAAAACAAATACTTTCTCAACAAGACTAAAAGTACCACCAAACATTGTCCCCTTTTTTGGTAAATAAATTATTAAAATGTTACTAAAATATTACTGTTTTTCTTTAGTATTTACATTTTGTCTGCATGATAGTATTCCGTCACACTTTCTTAAGCAAATTGTTGATACTATAGGGCCTGATCTCCTGTTTTTATTAACATGTGTTTGAGTTCTGGTACGGCCCCTGACTGCCTAAAACATGCTTCAGTCACTCCTCTTTTGAAGAAACCAAATCTTGATGTGTCTGATTTAGGTAATTTCAGACCCATTTCTAATCTTCCTTTTATTTAAAAAATGTTGGAAAAGGTTGTACTTACTCAACTACATTCTTTTCTGGATTCTAATTCATTATATGATACTTTTCAGTCAGGATTCAGAAAACTACACAGTACCGAATCTGCTCTATTGAAAGTTACTAATGACATTATGCTGGCTGCAGATAATGGGAGTGCTCTTGCTCTGGTTCTTTTAGATCTCAGCTCAGCTTTCGATATGGTTGATCATACAATTCTTATTTCCCGACCAGAAAATTTTGTAGGCATTCAGGGCACCGTTCTAAATTGGTTTCAGTCCTTTTTAACTAACAGGAAGTTCTCTGTATGCATTGGAAAATATACTTCCTCAGCAGCACATCTTTCTTGTGGTGTTCCACAGGGATCTATTCTTGCTCCAACATTGTTCTCTTCATACCTGCTGCCATTGGGTTTCATCTTTTTTAAATATGGAGTATCATTTCACTTATACACTGATGACACCCAATTGTACCTCCCCTTTAAACATAATGATTCAAGCTCCATAGAGGTCCTGCTAGCGTGTTTACAGGAAGTGAAATTACGGCTTACACACAATTTTCTGGCCTTAAATGAGAATAAAACTGAACTAGTACTGTTTGGTCCAAGGGATTTTTATGACTTAGGTGATCTGGACTTTGGCGACTTAAGTTCTTATGTTTCTCCATGTGTGAAAAATCTAGGTGTGTTGTTTGATTCAGGTCTCAAGTTTGATAAACAAATAAATTCTGTTGTTAAATCATGTTTTATCCTCGATGTCTCACTAAATTTTAATCTTTTCTTTCTCTAAAGAACTTTGAAATAGTCATCCATGCATTCATTACTTCACGCCTTGACTACTGCAATTCACTCTATTATGGAGCAAACGGATCATCTATTGGATGCCTTCAAATGGTTCAAGATGCTGCAGGTTGTTGACTGGTAGTCGAAAATTCGATCGCATTTCTCCCATTTTAACTTCTCTGCACTGGCTACCAGTCAAACTGAGAATAGAATTTAACATTTTAGTTTGTGTTTTTAAAGCACTACACGGCTTAGCACCAATGTATTTATCTGATATTTTACGTTGTCACAATCCATCTAGGTCACGTAGATCCGACAACCTTGGAGCACTCTCTGTTTGTAGATCGAGGTTAAAACATCTTGGAGGCCGTGCTTTCGCGATAGCAGGCCCTAAACTCTGGAATAGCTTACCAGTATCGATCCGAATGGTGTCATCACTCTCCTCTTTTAAATCAAAACTTAAAACACATCTTCTCAGTGTGGGTTTCTAATGTACTATTTTAGTTTTATGTGTGTTGTTTTATAGATTGTAATTTAAAAAAAAAAAATTATTCGAGCATCCTAATCTGTACAGCACTTTGGTCAAACTTGGGTTGTTTTTAAATGTGCTTAATAAATAAATAATGAAATGAAACTTAAAAAAATAATAAAGACTACAAGAAATATTAAGGAATCTTACGAATCCCATTCCTAGTATATCATATGTTGTTTATTCATTGATTTATTTTAGACACTATCAGACTAATGTCAAATTGAGGCACGGTGAAACAGGATATGACATCGTCGGGGTGGTCTTCGGTGTGCTGAGAGCATCTCGGTCTTCGATGAGCTTGTGAAATTACACCGATGCTCTCAGCCACTGCCTGCTGCCTTCATTTGTCCATCCATCAGATAAGCGTCCGCCTCCTGCCTCCGTCTCCTCAGTCTGATATACGGGCGCTCTGTCCTCTGATGTCTGTTCTATGATGGTTCAACAACTTGAACCTGCTGCAGACAGATGTCAGCCCAGCCGCCGGTGTTACACAAGCAGAAAATCACTTTCGATTCACAATCGTTTTCTGCGGCCAGCTGTAGATGAGGCTCCTAAATCTATTCCACTTTAAGCTCCGACAAGTGACACGCAGTTTAGAAACCTGATACACTCTTCTTTATTAGACCCCATCAGGCCAATCAGTCGCAGTAAGTTATGGTCTGATGTCAATTTCTACGAATCCGTGCCATATTGGTACCACATGTACGTGTTTGAAATGAGCATGAAAAATTGCTGGACAGCGTATCTGAAAACGTTACATAATATAATTGCGGCATAACTCTAAAAAGAGGACGAGGTGGCACTTAAAAACAGCAGGATGGGTGCAGGTTTTGGAGAACGTCCAGCTGGCCAACGAGGGGCTGCAGGGAAATCGAAGGACTCGGAGGAGGACATGCGAACAACGCGAAAAAGAGATAAACCATCTGTGCACGGCGATGACCTCGCGCTCCAAACATGCGGGGTTCAGCGAGGAAACGCTGCTTCTCATTCAAAGCGTTTACATGCACAATAAAAACCTGATAACCATCAAAAACAACTCATTAGAAAAGCTCAACGACTCAAGAACAACTGTAATAACCTCGCTTACATGATACTTTGAAATCGCCAGGGTTTTCTAGGATTTGTGTGTCAAAGCAAAAACATGCACACAATAAATGACAGGGTTTATGAAGACTTTAAAAGACCTTTTTAAGACCAAATAAAGAAAATTGAATGGAATAAACTGAATGGATCATAATATGTCAGTATGGCCTCTAAATGTAAATGTCTTGTATTAGCAACGCTTCACAGTTTGAAAATGCAATTTCTAACAGATCTCCATTATTTTTTAATTCATTTTCCAAAAAACGGTTGAATAGCTCTGCTCCTAACTACTACAATATTGAAATAACTTTTACTGTACCTTCTGATCCCACTGCTCGGGATAAGGATGTGTTTGAGAAAATATTGAGAAAGAAACTTATTTTTGCAGTCATGCAACCTGTAATGCCATGATTTTATGAATTTAAGACTTTCTGCTCTGATTTAAGCCTTAATTTAAGACCTTTTTAAGACCAGCAGAAACCCTGGAATAAGCAGCTAGAACATCAGTAAGAGCAAGATAAAACTCGTTCACATGACTTCACACATCACAGCCTGATAAACTATTATGGAAAAGCTGTTTATGAATAACATGTATAAGTCATGCACAATAAAATCAAGAACATGCATTAAAGTCATGATGCAACATAAGTAGTAAAAGGAAAGATGTTTAAGAGGCAGAGCAAGTTTGTGAATTTTTTTTTTTTTCCAATTTTGAATAAAATGCTTAAATTATGCACAATAAAACCAAAAGCATGGAGTAAGAGTCAGAGCAATTTTACAAAAAAAATGATGAAGAAATCCTTTTTTAAAAGTCTTGAATAACGTACAGTATACATCATATGCAATAAAACCAAGAACATGCATTAAAGTCGCAATG